GGCAAAGCCATGGAGAGGGGTCGTTACTCGTTAGTTAGCAAATCACCATTTCGTCTTCATGGTCTCAGGCCCAGAGTGAACCCAATCCGAGACGTCTCTATCCTCTGTAGGACCAATGAACGGATGGTCCAAGAAAGAACGAAACTGAAACCGCTGGTTCGGGATAACAGAAAGTATGAAAGATCGTTATTTGTGAATTGTGACGTAGGTATATTCGTTGTCTATAAAAAGCTACTATAAACAAACTTTTGATGTCACATTTGACCGCACAGATAACATAAGTTTCACCAGTTCATCATGGAAAAAAAATGCACGACGAATCAGGAATCTACAACTAGCATGTTTGAACTAGTGAGGAAGTGAGCCTAGCTCAACTGATTGGGTGGGAGGTGTTGACATGCATCCAACCATCCAAGTTTAAATCCTCTCCTGACTGAATTTGAGTGTCTATTTCTCTTCTTAATTAAAAAAAAAAACCAACTAGTCCCTCCTATGTTGGTTGGACCTCGCAGATTTGAACTAGTAGTACATTACCGTTATAGAGGTAAGAAAGGAAAAAACAATTCCCAAGCGCTGGGTGTGTCATTTCCTTTGAATTTTGCACACCTGGGATGACCTTTGGCTCTTCAGGTGTATTTTATTAAGTACAGACATTTAACTGGATGCTTCTATTTAGTACAGTATGTACCAACCTCTTGATGAGAACAAGAAATTTTCTATTCCCTACTATAAGTCCAAGCTGAGACTTCTTTTTTCAGTTATGTCTGAGGGGGTTTTTAACAGTCGGCAGGAGATCTGCTGAACTTGTATTGATATACGGGAGACTATAGTACCGGACTACTGGTTGTGATTTTAGGACAGAAATTTTGTGCATCCGACTACAGGGCTCCCACGCAGCATACTCATACATATGCGAATAACCACTTTGCAAACACGTTGACGTAATTACTCTAATATAATATGCATTAATCAGCTCTGAAACGAAAATAAACAAGATTCAGATTCCAGAACGAGGCCAAAAGTAACATGAGCGCGCGAAAATGATCAAATGGAAGCATCGAACGTGCAGGCTGTCTACGGAGCAGTTATGTATACACCATTATCCACCAGAAGCGAGCTCTAAGCTGTTAATTAAGCAATGATTGACACACATTGTATCTCGGAGACAACGTTGTGCAATCATCTATCTATCACAAATACAGTACGTGAAGTGCATCAAGAAGTAACAGACTCGTCTGAAATCGGGTTGCAAGTAAACTAGCATTGCAGGGGGCGCAGAGTGGACGTACACTGGTGCTTGCGGCGGTGGAAGAGGCCGATCCACTTGAGGCGGACGTCGACGTCGTCCTTGGTGAGCTTGGCGGCGTCGATCTCCTCCATGGGGATCTTGGCGAGGTCCTTGATGCCGTCCTCCATGAACAGTCCCATGGGTTCCTTCTCCAGCTTCACCTTCTCCTGCGGGTTCAGCCCCGTCCGGTTCTTCTCCTTGAGAACCCAGTACCCTCCCTCCCGCTCCTCGACCCTCGGCTCCAGCCGCTCCGCGGGGACCTCCCCCGTCGCCGGCGGAGACAATGATGGCATGGAGACGACCGCTCGGGCGCGGCCGTTGCGGCGCCGGGACGACGACGCCGGCGTCGCGTGCGGGGAGGGCGGGAGGAAGCGCTGCAGGGACGCTGAGGAGGCCATGGTTGGCGGTGCCGGTGCCAGTGGCACTGCTGCTGTGCCTGTGCTGTGGTGGTGGCCATGGGTGGCGAGCGTGTGGTTATTTATTGTGGGGCGGGAGGGGGCGCGCCGCGCTGGTTACTGGCTCTTGGGGAGTTCAAAAGGGCAGGCAGATGCAGCTCGAAATGGCAGGCAGCCACCGAATGGGCTCTCAACTCGCATATAGCATGTGTATTCATGTTTTTTTTCTGTCTCTTCTTCGCCCTGAAGCTGATTTTCCTTTGTCAGGTACTCATTCAGTCATACACTCTTACCGCTATCTCGTTGACATAAGCTACTCCCTCCGTTCCTAAACATATGTTGTTTTCGCTTTCCGAGAAACCACTTTAACTAAATATATATAAAAAATATTAATATTTATGGTACATAATTAATATCCTTAAATAGATATTTGAATCTAGTTTTTTAATAAATTTATTTGAAGATACAAATGTTGTATGTATTTTTCTACAAATTGAGTCAAACTTTCGGCACAGAAAACAACGACGACAGTTAATTGGGGACAGAGCGAGTACGTTAAGGACAACACAACATTTAAGTATTATATATGCCTCTGGAATAAATTTTGAGAGTATATACTGTCACTAAGGTTGAAAACGGACATCCCGTCCCGTCCCGACCCGACCCGTTTTCTATATTATGGTACTGTTTTTGAATTTAGTCAAACATTAAAAAAATTTTTTTTTCAATTGGTTTCATAACTTTTTTTTTACACTTTAATCACTAAAATTTAGAAAAATTTTGTATCGACCCTTTCCGTTTTCTATATTGTAATACCATTCTGCCCGTTCACATCAAGCAGGCCCCGTAACCACCAAACCAAGGTTCTGGGCGAGCAGCTGTTTCGGATCAATGGAAAACGCAAACGAAGAGGCAGAAAAGAGCTGCCCCGGTTTTCAGCAGCTGCTTGCTTATTGCTGAAGCAGAGGAGGCGTCGTTCCATCCCACCCAAACATCCCCAGGGCCAAGAGCCGGACAGTTCGGTAATCTCGCGGCAGCAAACTTACGTACTCCGTACGCGGCAAACATGTGGGGGAAGCGGGCCACGAGCAAGAGCCCGTGGATTAGTTAAAGCGTAGCTGACCAATCACACCAAGGCCACATCTGCAGTAGTGCAAGGCGCCCCATGAGCCGCCTGAAGGGTCGGCGAGACGCTCGCGCACGGGTCCGGCGAGAGGCGTGCCGTGCACTGTCTTTGTATCTAGTCGGACCGGGCCGCGGTGGTACGGACCAGGATCCTCGCCGGGTCGACCGGTACTGGCAATCTTACCCTGCAGGCGGCAACTGCCGAGACTGCAGCGTGGCTTGGCGGCACCAACGGCCAACCACGCGTTTGGAAGCCACGCGCCGCGGCCGGGTGGCCTTTGTCCTTTGATGCGCGTGCAAGGGCGACGTGCCCATCCATCGTGATGTGCCAGACAGCTGTGCGGGGCGGGCGGGCGGGCGCCTCTTGGACGACGCCAACCTTCCCGGCCCGGGGGCGCGTCACGGCCACGAGCTGAGCCCGCAGGCTGCAGCCTGGAGGAGGCAGCTACGCTACGCACCCAGCGTAGCAAACACGTCACTCGTTTTGGTTGGGCGTATTTGGCCGAGAAATTGTGAGCATGCAAGCTGCTGTTGTTTCTTGTTCAGAAAAGACGAAAGATGTAGTTCGAAAGTCATTGGCTGAGCACAAAAAAAACTTTAGAAAACTTAGGCCATGTTTGAAAAAAAAAATCTAGTTCCCACGTTTTTCATGTAAAATTGATCTAATTTCTGTATGATTCCTGTAAAAAAATTATCTTCTAAATGGGGCCTTAAGGAATTGATACAATGACTATGCGCCATAGGAACCATGCTTGTCTTACCAAATTTTGATGGTTTTGGCCACACGACCACCGGTGGAGCTTGTGCCAAAATTTCAGTAAGGTCTCCATCTTACGTGACACTCTACTTCATTTTGAGACCCAAAGTTAGCCGCTCGAGTTGGCCACCTGGCCCCTCTAGAGTTCATTTGATAGAAAAGCAATTCGATCGTAAACCAATTAATTACCCACTCCGTTTTTAAATATAAATTTATGATTTTTTTTTTGAGGACGCAGACGCTCATATATACGAACGCACACTCATCCCTATGAACGCACGCACGCACACCCTACTCATATGAACACCAAATTTATAACGTTTATGACACGCCAATTAGTTCAACAAACTAATCAGATTGTCATTGATGTCATATATACTAGAAGAACGCCACGTGCGTTGCTGGGGGAATCGTTGTAGAAATTATACTACTTATATTTACTAATATAATTGAATAATATCATAATACATGTTAGTTGATGATTTTTAGCATTCTGGTGTGAACAGCTAAATATATGTTAGTAAATGATGTGGTTTGCTAATGTGAATCGGCTTGTTAAACATTTGGTTTCAAATGTGGGGCTTATCACCATGGTACAAGATTTTCCTCTCATAACAAACCCAAAGACCAAATTTAGCTTATTAGCTCGAAACCAACCAAATGAATGAAATTTGAATAATGGCATGTGGTAGTTGGGTGTGTTAGTGGATGCTGATGTGAACACTTTGCATTGTGAGATAGTTGAATATGCTAGTGAGATGGTCTAGTGGATGCTGACGTGGATACTTTACATGGCAAAATAAATTGCTAGTGGGGTTTATCTTTATAAGAGATATAGATTTAAAACAGAGAGTCCATATTTTGTAGTCTGATCTAAAGCTCTAAATGCCATTCGTACATTAAACAAATAGGATATATATATATTCTGTAGCCACTTTGAGTTACAATAATTACTATATTAATTTACGGTTACTATAACGTTATGGTAAATATCCACATGTGTTATAATAAGCCAACTATCGTAAATATGTATTGACATTATCATAAATTAATATATAAAATTATCGTAAATGAAGGTGGTTACTAGAATAACTTATTTTGTTGCTGGCTACTTAATATACTCTCCATATATATATATATATATATATATATATATATATATATATATATATATATATATATATATATATATATATATATATATATAAAGGCTGCCGAGTGTTTCGATATGCTGGTAACTAAATGGAGCACTACAATTTCATCTGCAAGCGACGAGCCTATATATATCCATTTATGTTGCGTGGAATAAGATGCTTAAAGGAACACTCCACGTGGATTTGAACAACTGCAAAAAATCGCATATATGATATTAAATGCCTGGAGAAAATCAATACCATAGAAATATTACACTGAAACAACCATACGAGCAACTACTTCAGTAATCTTGTCTCCTGCGGAAATGCCTGAGAATGAAACTGTCCGCATACATGGGGTACTTTTGTCGGATGAGACCTTTGACGCACTTCCAGAATGAAAAATCAACTTGCTCACCATCCTTCCTAACTATGAATAAACACCTTGAGTTTTCGAATTCTGGATGTAATCCTACCTGCAAAATGATACTAAACGTTAGTTGCCAAATAAGCCAGATGAACAACTAAGGTATCGCCTACCAATAGCATTCGATATGATTGAAATAAAACTGCCATTCAAATTTTAGGGCTAACCATTCACTAGTGTAGCACACTGAAGTCAACCAAACAAACTATTCGAATTTTCTCAAAAAGAAAGGCAAATATCTGTTCAGAACAGAAAAACTCTGATATTTGCTGCTTCTTGTGATTATATTGTGTTTAAGTCCTTGACACGTCACAACACAAAGTTGACATACACATTGATTGGGACTGGGAGTTCAAGCTGTAACAATAAGATATTGACAGTTGTGCATGTTTATTTCTTTAACTCTCCACTTCGTGAAGATAACAACTAGAGTAATTTGTTCGGTCCATTTTCAAGGATAACATACCGTGATGTAGTCAATACCGCATCCAATTTTCTTATCATATTCTGGATGGTATGGAAGCAAACGTTCCAAAATCGCCTTCTCATGTTCAGGACTCAGCCGACCGCCACTTTCATATCTGCACCCAGTTTTCAAAGTGAAACTATGACAAAAGAGAGAACAATACAGCAATCATAGCACATAAACTGCAAGCTACGACAACTACCACAGGAAGAAGTAATACTTTCTGTTGGTGTATCCTAAGCCTTTTGTATAGATGTATAGTCAGATCAGTTCTAAAACTGGATCCTGCTGATTGTTGGATGATCATAGAAGCACATGCCATGTCCGATACTATATAAGACATGTTATCATAAAGTAAGCCTAGTGCTGACTTTGTGTGCTTCATTACTCAGGACTCAGGACTCAGTAGCCATACACTAACAGCATATTGGTTTAAGATGCATATTTCCACCGTACAATTGCTGCCTCGCATGGAAACTAATCAAACACACAACAATGCTAAATTCAATGCATATACACAGACCCACAGTGCAGAATAGTAGAATGGATCAATGTTTACACCAGTATCATGGTCTATATACCAGTGTGAAGACTCACTTTTTCTGCTGAACTTGACACCAGATAAAGCTTCGTTTTTTGGGAACGTGCATTGAACGTGTTCCATTAAGAGAGTAGCTACTAAAATTTTGCCAAGGTACATTTTATTCATGGCGGAAAAGCGAACTACAAAGCACTGAAATGACACGAAGTGGCATGGAATGGTTTCTTTGAAACATCATGGCCTAATTGGCTGCCTTTGCCTAAATTGTTCGAAAGATTCAGCAAGCGATGCAAGTAGCTCTTCGGTTCTCTAGCCTTCCTCAGGCTTGAGGCTCCCTCTGGGAGCTTTGCTAGTTGTGGCTCCTTTTTTGTACAGCTTCTTCTTTTTATTAATAAAAATCTCTAACAGTAGGGACCTCCCCTGCTGTATTTTCCGTTCAAAAAAGTAGACAATAAAGGTTTTGTCTGAGTGAATCCACCACCTAGATAGTGTCATGCTTGTATCAAGTAGTAATGAGTATTTGTTCACCATGTGCAGTTGTCAATAACTAGGAACATGTAAACATCTCTAAATGTTTACAAGGATGGACAAGGGGAAATGGTGGTTCAGTGATGCCTTGCTCACAGTCTCATGCAGTTGAGATACATCAAGGAGAGGTCTTTTGCAAAAGGAGGAAACACATTGTGGAATCAACTATCTAAACTACTATGCATGTTAAAATAGTGCAGGTTCCTCTCAAAATGAATTATTGCTCTCAAAAAAAATAAATAGTGCAGGTACTTCCACAAATATCAGTGTTTCAGAATTTGGCTGGCACATAGCCAGGTGCTGCAGCCAATCGAGACCAAAACATATCAAGTGCACTCAGGTGATAAGAACTAGGATTAAAAGCAAACGCTCCTATAAGAGTTGTAGATTTTGTCATTTTTTTCTGCAGCATGTCATGGCACCTTCCCCTCAAATTGTGACATATGATAATTTATACTCTTATATATGTAATACATGATAGATTAATCTACTGCATGCCTTGTGGTGGAATACATCTGTGCAACCAATTGTGCAAAACCAATTGAACTACCCCTTCCATCCCAAAAAGAATACAAATCTTGGTTCTCGAGGAGTCAATCAATCCCAAATTTGACCAAATATATACAGAAAATTATTAAGGCCCCGTTTGGATCCTTGGAATTGAATTCATTTTAATAATCATAATTTAGACACATATTAAATTAAGCTAATATGGTTGTATATGGATTATATTTGTATATTATTGTTGGCTATACGAGAGAAATACTTATATGTTGCATTTCTACCGTAGGGGAGCGAGTTGAAGAACGTGTTATAAGTTGCAAAGTAAAAACATGGCATGGTGATCTATAGAATCAATTTCCATCTCTCACCCTAGGAATTTGAGATAGGCTTATATGTGAACTTTAGAAAGTGGTGGAATGTCAAATTCCAAGCCAAATAGCCTAGTTTATTAAGTAAATTTCAATTCCTCCAAATGAAAGGATCCAAACAGCCCCTAATATTTTTTATGCCTAATAAGTATTACTAGATTATTTATGGAATCTATTTTCATAATAAACTTATTTGAAGATACAAATGTTGATACTCTTTTATGGTGGGGAACGTCTACCAGCGTCGCAAGAGGAGCCGTGGCTGAGGAGTGGGCCGTGCCAAGGAACGCCAGAGCGTGGTCACCAGCCAGGGCACGCCAAAACCACACCGCCAGGAGTTTGTTAGCCGATCCAATTGATTAGGAGAGATATTTCCTTTGAGTTGATTATCCCTTAAAGTTAGCAGAGAGTTTGTTAGGATTGTGGTATAAGTATTGAACATTTTTGCTTAATAGAGATTAGCCAGAGATTGAGTTTATCGCTCTCGCTCTTTGGCGTTCGTGTTTTCCTGAACTCGCTCTCGCTCATTCCTCGACGCCGGCGTCCCAGCCTCGTCGCCGCCGGGAACCCAAACCCCGTCCTCCTACTTCTCACGACTACTACCTACGCCATCCCAGCATTTCCAACACTATCTTTCATAAACCTAGTCAAACTGGGACTGTTTGACTCCTCGTTAACTGAGATCTCCATTCTTTTTGGGACAGAGGGAGTAATTCACAGCTTTCTCTTTTTTAAATAAGAAATAGTATACTATGATTTTAAGAAAGAAATAAATTCGCAGCTTTCTCAACATTGTCCATAGTGTTCTGTCCAGCATAAAACCAACTGTGGCCATTATAGCAATGGAGTTGGATAAAAAAAGAGAAATATAACTGTAATTGATGACTCCATCAATGGGGCATTGTCAGCATTCCAGGCTCATGCACACGGGCAGATCCATATATGTCCGACTGGGTGCGGCCGCACCCACACCAAACTGCGAAATATGATGTAGTATATAGATTTGTACTGTATTTGCACCCCTCCGATCCAAACGTCTGCACCCACAGCCCAACTCAGCCAACAGAGAAAGCCCAGAACAGCCCAAAGATCAACTACGCTCCGCACGGGAGACGGAACTGTTGGCCGGCGCTTCGACTCACGCGTCGCCACCCCTCCGCGCGGCCGCGCCCCTTCTCTCCCCTTCGCAGTTCCCCTCGCCCATTCTCTCACCTCGACGCGAAGTGGCCAAGTCCGGTGGCAGGCGGTGGGATAGCCGATGGCCGCAACACTGCTGCGTGCTGGCCAGGCGGCTAGCCACCAGCACTCGGGGGGCACTGGCACCAGGACTCCAGGATTGCAGTTTGCCCGCTGCCCTGCTCTATTTTCCGTTCAATCTTGATCACAAGGCAGAGTAAGCAACTTCAAAGCTTCTTAACTTTTTTTTCAATTTCCATCAATCGGATCATTCAAATTGGTTTCAATTTTATAGTTCTTCCTTCCTTGGTAGTTTGCCCAGATTCTAGGGTCTGACTTTTTTATTCTCTCTCGAATATCTGGTAATGAACAACCGAATCAACTAAAATATAAATATCTCTTGTGGATTTTAGGAAAACCATGAAAATGTTTTCCAAATGAAAAGCACCATACAGGGAGATTGCAATATTAGAAATGGAAGATGCATATATTGATCCCAAAAATTCTAGGAAGACCGTCTAGCTTTGTAGATTTGAGAGATCCTAGCCACCAATTTTGCCTCTACTTGGCATATGTGATTTTTATTTTTCAATGGATCATTCTATTGTCTCTTTGCTTAAAATTGAATGGTTTGAGGATTGACGATTGCATTTTGTCAATGCCACAACAATCTTTTTTTTTATATAATTGTGTTATTCTCTAACTATATTTTGGTAAACGGTAACCACTATTGCCGCTATTTCATTGTTAGTATATATCATTATTGCTTGTGTTTAATTATTGATGCTAAAATCTTGCCCGTAGCAGTATTAAGTTACACTATAATTGCTATGACGGAAGCCTAGACGGCCGCACCCCCCTCCATATTTCTCTAGCTCCGCCACTGCTCATGCACGATAAGTTTACCTAGCAGACATTCGGTTCAATGAATTGCGACAGCATCAATGACCTACGGTATTAGGCTATTCTAAAATTTATTAGCCTGAATGACAAAGTTTGTGATGAATTTCTGGTGCTAATCAACAAAGCAGAAGGCAGGAAGAGGGAAATGTTGCGTACTTGCCGGAGTGGAGGATCATCCGTACGAAGCCAACGAGAGGCACGGTGTCCTCGAGGATAAGATCCTCCCAGTCCACCCACTCCCTCTCCGTCGCCTTCCTCCTCCCCTGAACCCCTTCCTCTTCGGGCGGCTCGTCCTCCCCCGGGCCATCAAACGAGGACTCCGCATCGGTCTCCCTCTCCTCCTCCGTCGACGTCACCGTCGCTACCTCCGGCCGCCGCAGGAAGGCCGCCGGGTCGGGCGGCGCGGCGCCTTGCTCGCGCGCCCTCACCGCCGCAACCGCGCGGCCGTGCCCACGCCCTCGGCCCCGGAGGACCAGCAGGCAAGAGGTCGAGGCGGGGTGGGCCACGGGGACGAGGCGAGGGCGGGCGACGGCCGGCGCGGCCATGGCGTGCGCGCGCGGCGACGGGAAGTGCATGTGTGCGCGGCGAGGCGGCTGCGGCTCCGTTGGCAATTACGGCATGGGTACGGGCGGGGTGCGCCGTGTCCCAGGCCCGGCCTCGCGCGGCGGGCCGGTCGGCGGAGGGAGGGAAGGGGCGTCGCGTGGCGGTGGCTCGTCGGGGGGGTTTTCCGAGCTGGAGGGGCCGGGGGGGGTCTGGGCTGCGCGGCGGGTGGGGATGGCGCAAGCAGTGGCTGGGGAGTTAGCCGCGATGCTGCATGGAGTGGATAGGTCTGGCTCTGTGCGCAGCACGGGAGTGAGCACGACTGAGCGCCAGGCCCAGAGCTCGTTGGCGTGGTTGCTGCTGCGCAGCGGCGAACGGACAGGAGCCGGTGATATTTGAGGGGAAAAAAGTTATTTTTCATCTCTATAACTCTGGTTGAATTATCGCAGTAGTTCTCAAAGTCTAACCAGTCAACCTGCCTCCCAAAATCTACGTCTAAATTATTTCGCTATAACTTATCAAAAAAATACTCGCTGTCCTGTTTAGGCCCTGATTGAATCTAGTTGAATTCGTATCAATCCACATGTGTTGTGGTGGATTGGAGCTAAACTTGAATTAAGGTCCCGTTTGGCATGGCTCCAACTCTGGATGGAGCTGCTCTATTCTAGAACTTCAGGTGGAGCCAGCTCTGAGTGGAGTTGGAACTGTCTGATAGAGGTGTTTGGCTGAGAGGGTGTCCCCAGCTCAAAAAAAAAGAGGAGTTCGAGGGTAGATTGCCATTCTTGCCCTGCTTATGTGGGTCCCATTCATCAACTAACTAATCTATTTTCTTTTTCCCTCTTTTCCTCTCTCGTTTTTCTCTCAACGGCGACCACGGCACGCCATGCTTCGTCTATCCCCTTCGCCTCCTTCTCCCGCTTTCCGACAAAATTGGGCGCATCGCCGATCGACCAAGAACCCGCCGGCCCCCACGGCGTTGCCGCCGCTGACGCTGTCTTCGACTTTCAGCGGGGCTCGATGACTCCATCGGGCTCGCGTCCATGAACGACTTCGTCCTTCCGCCTTGCCGACGGCAAGCCGCCGCCATGCAAGATCCATGATTCGGCCCATTGGCGGCGCTTCAAAGAATGGCCCCAGCTCCCAGCAGCCGCGACGAGGAGGTCGAGGCTCGGCGTCATGAGGCCGAGAAGGAGCGCTTCGCCCGCCACATCGGCAGCAGAAACCACCACACGAACCACCGTTCAAGCTGCGGTGGGCCCTCCTCCTCGTCCGCCAAGCCGTCCGTTGACATCCAAACCCAGTGGTCGGGTGAAGGAGCAGATCCCTTTCTCCTCCTTCTCCAAGCTCTCGTGACCGAGCCCGAGGATCTCCTCGTCTATGGCGCAATGATCGAGTTCTGACCGGACCTATGATCGCGTCACTCCCGTGTCGGGCGTCCGCCTCGCCTGGAGAGAGGTAGAGGGCTCGGGGGGGCAGAGGCGGCGGCGGCGGCACTCTGCGAGAGCTCAGCGTGTTTTTGTAAGGCGAGGCGAGGGGAGGGCTCGGCCGCGAGAGGAGCTCGGCCACCACCCATGGCGGCGGGGAGGAAGACGACCATGAGAGGGAGGAAGAAGTCACTGCGGGGGTCTCGGGAGAAATAGAATCGAACCGTTTTTCTGTGTAATCAGTGGTAGTGGTGGGTAATTTCCCACCAACTCCACGAGAAGGTTCATATTGAGTGGTTTTGGAGCTGCAAAAGAGGTGCTCCAAAACTCCACCTCCATTTGTACTACAACTCCATGGAGTCGGCAGCTCCGTAGAGTTTCGGAGTTGGGGTGTTTGGCTGAATTTTTTTATAGAGTTGCTGGAGTTTAGGAGTGGAGCCATGCCAAACAGGCCCTAAATTTTACCCCAATCCACACCAACATATGTGGATTAAAGTGAACCCGACAACATCCAAACAAGACCTTAGAAATTATCTCAAGGTGGTTTTATTATTATTATTATTTATTAGAAAATATAGTAAACAATTAATAATCTCTAAATTCTAAAAGCTATGCATCTAGAAATATTAGCACGACTTATAATTTAGAATGGAGTGAGCAAAAATTTTGAAGCACAAAAAATATCTTTGAAGCTTCTAAATGTTTCAAGAAAAATCCTAAAAGGTATATTAGCACATGATAAATCCAAATAAAATACTCAAAGCTCATGAAAATGAATCTATAAGCATTGAGAAATTAGATTTAGTTCTAGGACAATGGGATCAACCAAGCCCTCTCCGGGGCTTGCTTAATAAGAATAAGAAAGAAAGAGGAATCTAATGAAAATAGCATGAAGTAAATTTTTATCCTATTTATGGGTATTCTGAAACTATCCCAATTGGTTGTGGTTGTTAATTCATGATTTGGCATATATACAGAATGAAAGCTTCATTCTCGTTTCTACGAGAAATTTTCAGAACGTATCTTTTTTTTTGCCTAATTCTTCTGATGATGATAGATTTAACCTCTGACAAAAAAGGTATACCTTGTGTCGGTGTTTTGTCAACCGACTAGTGAATTTATACATGTGTCGCGCTGCTTTAGGAAGGCGATGGTAGCATCCAAAGACACAAGGAATTATACTGGTTTAGACCGGAGCCCTACGTCCAGTCTCAGAGAGAGTTCGAGTTTGTGTTCCTCGGTTGAATGCTCTGAAGTTCTTACAATGGGGTGTGTAAGGTAAAGAAAAGAGGTAGGAGAAGAGAGTTGGATGAAAGCCCGAATGAAATCTCAAGAGTCCGTCCCCTGGATGGGAGGCCTGGCCGTCATTATATAGAGTTTGGGGGCCAGGTTACATACATAGAAGGGTTCTCCCGACCGAGTGGTCGTGAGCCCGAGGGAGGGAGAAACTAGTAAGCTTGGCTCGCAAGCAAGCCTGTTCTGTCCTGGCGTCAATGCACATTCTGGCGTGGTTGTCGTCATGGTCTTGCTCCCACGTCGCGGCATGGCGTGGCGTGATGCTACAGTGCCGGCCGTGACAGCACTGTTGACATGGTGGTGGTTCACCAACTGTCGTGCGCGACATGGTCTTGCCGTGGCCTTCGTCATCATCTTCTATTCTCCCGGTGGCGTCGTGGCGATAGTACGGGAGTAGGTAGTCGCTCCCGGGTCATCGGTCGCCTTTGTTGGTCGTGGTGCCGGTGGCCTCGACCCTGGACCGCGAGGTCGAGGTCCCCGGTGGCTTGGCCGGTCTTGAAAGTCAAGGCCGGGGTCATGTTCCCTATCCCGTAGTGGGTGTGGTTGTACGCTCGTCTTGTCAGGTTGTATTTGGACGGTAGGATGTCGTACTGGTCGTCACCGTCTGGCGGTGTTGTCTTGTCCACGCAGCATGGCGCGGGGATGGCGTCTGTCCCAAGATGGGTGACAGTTGTCCCCTCAGTCGTCCTAGCGGAGTGAGTGGGGCGTGCCTGTTCTTGTCAGGGTTGACGTACTTGATGGAGCTCGACCTCTTTCCATCCCCTCCTGGGGGTGGTCGAGATGGGGGAGAGGTCGTGCAGCGCTGTGTAGCGTGCAGTGGAAGGAGAAGAAAGAGGTCGTGATGGACCGTGCGGCTTGGTGCTTGGCCCGGGGCCTTTGTAGTTTAGGTGAATTGCAGTTGCTGGGCCTCTGCTAGTTGGGCCGGTGTGGGCCGTCCGAGCGACTAACTAATCGGTGTGTTGAGATAGATATCATAACCCCGACACCTTGGTTCTATTTTCTCTTCGATAAGTTTGGTAATAAGCATAATGATCCTATTGTTTCGATGGTGAGAAGAACCTATAGTTAGAGTTCTTTGAGTTGAGTGAGGCAGATTATTCGATTTTAAAGCTGGAGGAGGAAAACCGAACTATGAATGAAGGTAGTTCAGGAGGAAAAAAAATAACTTCTTTCCTTCGCAAGGAGGGGTGCAGTGGACCTGTACATCTCGGCCCAAAGGCGTTTGTGCAGAAAACCAGCCTGTGCATGTGCATCGTCTTAGGCCAGGCCAATCCTTTTGGGTCCAGGCCCTGAGGATCTACTTGGAAAGGCCCAGGATCTTATACCGCCGACGGCCGAGACGCGCACTGCTTTACACCTAGCGCAGCCCATAAGTAAGCAGGACTTCGATCCAGCCGGAGGCGCGCCGCCGGCTGCCGGCGCCGCAAGGATTTTTCTGTGGCGCTGCGGCTGCGGCCTTTTTCGTTCCGTTCCATTTTGAGCTGTCACTCGAGAAGCTAGTAGTACTCCGTAGTAGCTATAGTACTACTCTAGTATTTCGCTCCGGCGGACAGGCTCCCACCTCGTGAGATTGAGATATTCAGCTTCTTCGCTGATCGGATTTTGAACTGATAAGTTTGATTAGTATTGGTTTGTTGTGAGAAAAAAATACTATATCATAACTGATAAATTCCGACTGAAATATTGAGATGTGAGATGTTCCTGCCCCGTGATCCCCCTGTCTAATCATGAAGTCCACATTCGATGATGTGCAGTGCAGGGCAGGCTTTTTTTATGCCTCTCATCTGAATACAGCTGTAGCATCTGTTTATATACAGACTCACACCAACCCCACACACGCACACCACACTCACACCACGCGTACACAAACAAACCTACAACTACACCCAAATCATAAGATCATGTCTTTTATGAGATCACCGGATCCAATCATGACTCCGTAGACAACGGACGCGTCACATCCTCTATGGCTCCACACGTAAGAGGCAATGGAATTTTTTAGGGGTAAACCATGGTGAGAGACCGAAAATTCGCAGCCACAGGCGGCGGGCTCGAACTCCGACCGGCAAGGTCGCAGCACCGGGCCTTGCCACCGCCTAGAGGGAACGCGTGGAGCCATCGACAGTTGGGCACTGTACTGCTGCCCGACCTTGAGCAATCACAGTCACAGGGGAATCTCCCTGTTCACCCACGCTGTGCATGCAAAGGCCATTTTCGCTGGTTCTATAATCCATATTTTTTCAGCTTATTTGTTTAGCAAAAATAATATTTTTCTCTCTTAATAAATTAGTCGAAATAATATTTTAATTTTTTTA